TGAATAATAGTCTTGTTTTTTCCGAGATAGCTGATGGTAAAGTGGTCTATTTTGAGGATCGCTACGTCAAAAGTTGCTTTTATTAATGCTTAAAGTCGTTATACACTGGAAATAGACGTCTACTTGAGCACAGTTGCAGCGGATAGTTACCATTATCTGTTCGATGAGCCGCGACATCATAAAGTCCACTCAGGTATGTTTCCTTATCGCTTAGTCTACCTACTCATGCATTAAAATCACCAGCCACTAGTACTACATCAGTGCTTAACTTTTTCAAGAAGACAGGAAAGCTTTCTGTAAAACTCATTTTTTACTTAATTTTGGCTCCAATCAGTCGAAGCGTAAGCAGAGAAGACGAAGAAGCAACGGCGTGTGTCCTTATCTTTCCGAGTCCGTATCGTCCCGTCTAGTCGGACAGCGCATAAGAGACTGTCTATCGGGATCTAGTCTAGGAGAGCTAGTTTTGCCCTAGGACCTAATACTATACCTACGCCGGTGAGACCACGAGAAGCGGCATCAGGGCTTCTAGAGACACGAAGCGTTGTGTCTCTATGTGCACTATGTGAGGTCAAATTGATGATTTTACTCGGATCTTGTATATGCGTTTCGGAAACGCAACATTCATTGATCACCTGGGATTCCAGAGTTCTAGCTAATGAAGCCCGTTGCCCTATTTGGCATAAGGTTCGAACATTAAAAACTCCTTCATGTAATTTAGCACGGGGTTTCAAGAGACCACGAATAATGTTTCGTGAGCTCATACCGTTTGCTTCAGTGGCGTGAGGTGATAAACGATCGAACGAAGGGTTGGTCGAGGAGATAAGAGAGTTATTAAGATGTGTAGAAACGATTTGATTGTGACCAATTTGGTCTCGTGCGCTTTTATGGGTGTGAGGGCGGATGTTACTTTCCGGCTGAAACACCGTGGAAGCATTTAGTCGGACAGCACATAAGAGACTGTCTACTGGGATCTAGTCTACGAGAGCTAGTTCTGCTTTCGAACTTAATGCTAAAGGTACACTAGCGACGCCAAGGGAAGCAACAGTGGGGATTCCAGATACGCGAAGCGTAAATCGAGCCGGTTCTTTATTTCGATATGGTAAGGTCAAATAAGACTGTACTCGTATCTTGTATTCACATTTCGGAGATGCAGCATACATCGATTGCGCGAGATTCTAAAGTTCTAGCTGAGGGAGCTTGTCGACCCATTCAGTACAAGATTCGAACGCTGAAAGCTCCGATGCCTAGTTTAGAGTGGTGTTTCAAGAGATCAGGAATAACATTTCGTGCACTCGAATCATTAGCATTAGCAGCACGAGGTGAAAAAGATATGTGAGAAGGGTATTTCGGAGAGAAAAATTATTCAGAGGCAAAGGAAGGATTTTATCACGAACAAGTTGATCTCGTGTGCTGTTATGAGTATGTGGGCGGCTGTCCCTTCCGGCCTCCATTACTGTGAGGGATTAGCTAAGAGTATGAGGCGATGGAGTTTTAAGAGTAAGGTGCTGGTTTTGAGTTCCAAAGTTACCATCAATTCTGAGATGCAGAAATATCCATTTGACGAGTTCCTAATAGGAGGAAACACCCATCCTGAATTCTATATCTAGCCACGTTCTATCTGCTCTATAATGCTAGTTATAGGAGATGCATAAATGATTAGAATAATTATGATAGCACTGAATAAAATGGCGAATGGATTTACGATTGCAGCTAGTTTATAAAAATATGTAATGGATGTCATCTAATGGTATGCACTGACCAACGACTACAATGAAGACTTTAAAGGTCAATTCTACGAAACGATGCAGTCAGTGGTCGACGCATGCTCATCAAAGGATTTGACAAATCTAATGGGAGACCTAAATGCCAGGGTTGGCATGGACAACACCGGATATGAAGACGTCATCGGACGATATGGACTGGGAGTAACGAACGAAAATGGTGAGCCATTTGCAAACCAATGTGTTTTGAGATGGTGGAGAAAACTTGTAGCTCAGGTGGATGATTGTGGTGGTGTTTCGTTCTCTCAGAGAACGCTCAGAGGACGAAACACCACCACAAAACCAATGTGTCTTCAACAAACTGGTCATAGGCGGCACAACATTCCCACAAACAGTATACACAAAGCTACATGGGTTTCACCGGTTCACACTACTCAGAACCATATCGATCACAACATTCAGAAGGAACACGGAGGACATGAGAACCAAGAGAGGAGCTGATATAGCCACAGATCACCACCTGCTGGTCGCCAAAATGAATCTGGAATTCAATAAGCACTGGGCAACGTGGCGGGCAACATCACAAAAGTTTATTAGGACCTTTCTTCGAGATAGCGTAAAAGTCAACAAATTCAAGATAACTCTCAGCAATAAGTTTCAGACCTTTCACGATCTACTCAGTGGAGAGGAAACAACCATGGAGAGTAATTGGAAAGGGATCAAGGAGGCAATCACTTAGACATGTCACGAGTTTCTGGGCCACAAGAAGTACTACCACAAGGAAGGGATCTCTGTTGGTGCTGTTTAAAAAATTCAAGGATGGAGGAAGAAGACAGCAGTCAGCATCAGCCAAACAAGAGCGGAGAAAACCAAGGCACAAGCTGAATACACAGAAGCAAATAAGCAAGTGAAGCGGATTATCAGAGACGAAATACATAAATATGCGGAAGACAAAGCAATGACGGCGAAAAAGGCCGCAAGAGAAGGAAACTTGAGACAATTGTACGATACAACAAAGAAGCTCGCTGGAAACTATCGTAAACTACAACGACAAGTGAAAAGCAAAGTAATCAGCAACACTGAACAAAAGTGAAAAAGTTGGGTAAAACACTGAGGATATCAGCAGAAGCAGATCTAAACATACCTAAAAGAAAGAGCGGGATTCTCTGATACAACACAACATGCGCCAACCAAATCACACTTGACAGAGCTTTAGATGATGTAAAAAGCACTAGATATCTGGCAGCATCTTTGATGGGCAAAACTGATCTGAGGCAGAAGTGATGGTAAGGATCGGCAAAGCAGGGGCAGCATTTCTAAAACCGAAGATTATATAGAACTCAAAACGACTGTGACCCAACACCGAAGTCAGAATTTCTAAATATAAATGCGAAGACAGCTCTAATGTATGGATTGAAAACTTGGAGAACTACCAAAGACATCATCCAGAAGATACAAGTGTTTATGACAGTTGTCTGCGCATATTACTTCGAATCCGTTGGCCAGACACCATCAGCAACAACGTACTGTGGAAGAGAACAAAGCAGATTCCAGTGGAGGAGGAAATCAGGAAGAAGCGCTGGAAGTAGATAGGACACGCATTGAGGCAAACACCCAACTGCGTCACCAGACAAGTCCTCACTTAGAACCCTCAAGGTCAAAGGAAGAGAGGAAGGTCAAGGAACACATTACGCCGAGAAGTGGAGACAGACATGATAAGAGTGAATGAAAATGGGACAGAACTTGAAAGGGAAGCCCAGCACAGATTTGATTGAGGGATACTTGGTCGGCGGCCTATGCTAAATTGGGGGTGAAAGGCTGAAGTAAGTAAGTATATGTGCGGAGAAAATTTTCCGAAACTCTGAATTTGCCATGGTAATCTTAAACAATTTTATGGCCTAAGGTAATGTGACTATTTTCTATTCTTTCTATACCATGTTAATTTCTTCTCTTCTCTGTTTACAACTATCACCTTATATTTATTTGAACTTTCTATTTAATTAACCTTTATTGATTTTCATAAAAAAAGCATTGATAAGTTACTGTGCATTCAGGTTTTACGAAATGTATAGTGCAGATAGATCACATTTTTCAGATCAACTCCTCCTTCTCATGGTAATATCAAAATTCAACAATATGATATAATATCTGGGTGATGCGCTACTGATAAAATTTCTCCATGAGTTCAAGTTTTTCATTTGTTTTTTAAACATTAATTATTGTTATAAAAATCAGGCAAAATAGTTTTTAGCTATCAGCTCGAAGGACTCAACAATGAATATGCTACCTCAAGTTATGCCTTGCTAGCAGATTAAAACTTTTCAAACCAATAGCACACGTTGGAAATGTTGTGTCATTCGAGTATAGAATGCTTATTGTAAAGACAGGGACCAATGAACAGTCATTGTTCTGCATGGAAGTCAATAGTAATAAAGTCAGTCTATTCAAAAATTTATCTTTAATCCTCACCTTTTTTTTTAGATAACTGACAATATTTTAGTGTTGTTTAATGCTTTTAGCTAGATGCATTAATAGCGAAGCTTTTATTGTTATTCTGGAAGACATTATTAGCGTTTACTTGGTAGATGGAAGTGAGTATTTCAGTCATATCAAAAGCACTAAGTCAGTTATTTCTGATATCTTTCTTTGTGAGAGGCCTTCTTTGAAAGTCTCAATGTATTTAAGTTAACTGACTTTTTTGATTGACCTCTGAGATTGCTTTTGATTGACTTTAGTACAGAGTGACAGACTAATTTAATCTCGACGTATCTATTGATTACCGACTGATCTGAATGCTACACCTGTTGCATTTCCTTGGTATTCTTAGCTTATTCTTACTTCATGATTTTGATCAACGAAATTATGTGATTCATATACATATACATACAAATATATATCTTGCTGAGTGACCTAATATAATGCTTGTCAAATTCACGGTATTCTAACGTGTAGCATAGTGGGTTTAAATATTCATGGATTGTTGATAGTATTGTTAGAGTAGTACCGAAGTGTAGAGAAGTGTTTTGGTAGTCAAGGCGTTCAACTCTCAGTCACTAAGTTGTAGGTTCGAATCCACTCCATTTACTTTGACTTGGGCAACCAAATGGAATCATTACACCTAATGTAAAGTTTGGTCCGAAGCCGAGTAACTTAATGTGCAACATGGTGAGAGTTGGCACTAAAATATAAACTAGATAAGGATTACTATGAAGGGAAAATGTTTAAACAACCTCCACCCCCTTACTTTTACAATACTACTCACTATTATGATAATAATTACTATTCTTGTTGGTATAATGTAACGACTTGTCCACTCTCTACATGAATATGCCCATGTGATCGAATAAAATTTGGATTTATAAAGTTTAAGTCACGACGATATCTTTTCACCGACTGAATGCCCGCTGATGACGCTTTCGTTGTTGTATTTGCCACAGTTGATGGTGGTAATGTTGGAAATATTATTGGTGACTGACAATACTGTTGACAATTTTCACCAGTCTCTCTTGAATCGCATACACGTACTTCACAATGTAAATAAAGATTTGAATAGATGGGAACTACCGATCCAGCGGTATTTAAATAAAATGCATTAAATGTGAAGCCGACCTGCGTAGATGATGATGGGATAACTATAAGATCTTTATAAGCAGCGCATCTATAGGTAAAAACACAAAAAAATTGAGATAAGGATTTTGAAAAAGATATTCATCTCACCACAGATTAACCAATGAAAACCATCAGTCGACAATGTACAATATTATGACCCATTAAGACTGGAATCATGTTATTTCAGATTTTATGATAAGTAAAGCTTCATTGGACGACTAAATTGTTTTTCGATGGGTCACTACAATGATCGAAGTTTTCTAATATGTGATATGAGGTACATTCAACAATCAAGAGAAACCTACACAATTTTGTTAACAGACCCCCTTGTTCACTTCTTAAATGGACGTATAGGAAATCAATACACTCAGTTTTACAGTTCTGTAACTTTATTATACAAGATAAACCTATGAAAGAGATTAAGAAATCATGTAAAGCTTATTCACTCCAATGATCACCATTGAAGAAGAGTTAACTGTCAACTGCAACCTACTACTCACCATGAGTTCATATCTAATGAAATTTATTAATTAAGTCAGAGACAATCATGATTTCCAAGAAATAATGATTCTTAAGTAACACTAACGAAGAATAAATAACACAACAAGAAAGAACAACTAAGCAAAAATCATTCTCTGTAACTAAATTAAGCATCCATTTCGACAACCAACGGATTGTTAGAACTGAAAATAAAAATAGACTTCTTGAATTTGTCTCATTTATGTGCAACACCTACTCAACCACTCTTATGGAATCAGTTACATCGAAGATGAATTTTTAAACGCCATGTTTAGTTGGTTAGGTAAGGAACAGTTTGAGACAGCTTATTATCTCTGTCATAAATTGCGTTTTCCCGAAAATTCCTGTTATCTTTTTGTTGTTGCAGCACTATTCTGTTTATGATTAGTTAACAGTTATTAGCACTTGAATTCATATCAAAATTTGGTCAATTCTCTTACATTATATCACGCAATCTATCAATATTGAAACAACATTCTAATTAATTCATTTAATAATTAATATCTATGAATATTATTTATCTAGCGAGATGCATCCGACGTATAAGCATACTAGGCAACTTTCTTAATTATGCAAATATGAACATACTCTTTGATTGAGGAACATCGACAAGCATAAGGTCGACTGATAAGGCTATTATCGATTTTTAATAATAAAGACGGAGCTAGAGGACGTGTATCATATATAGAGGCTTAGCCACCAACTAACTGACTAGCCACCCGTGGGGTAAAAATCGTCACAATTCACTTAGTAATACTCGAGTTATACCTTATGGTAACCTATACAAACATTCTCTTATTTCATTACCTAACTTTAACATACCGATAAATTGGAGTAAGCTACTATAGGTCACACTTGCTCGGTTGAGCTTTTAGAACCCGTGTAGTAATCTTTATCAGCAACCGACCCACTAGGGTAGATGATATATTCAAGATGAATTAAAGTGCTCAGCATATTCCAATACTTTACTCTGGCCAATCATTTACAGAGATCACTTCTGCAGTAAGATTTTTTCGTATGAAAGACGAAACACATTTTTGCTTTTGAATAAGTTCAGAAGACAATGTGTTCAGATAAATGTAAGTAATCAACACAAAAATAAGATAGTTTTATGAAGCACATATACACGTACAGATGTACAAATAGATGTACTTATACACTATTAATATAATAATGATCCTAACCAGTAAATTTAATAAATCAGTGTTGCTCACAGACCCATTTTCTAAGTTACAATTCTATGTTGAGCAGAAAAGTTTCTGTTTACTGAGCAGTAGACTTTTGAGATAATCGATAATGACACAAAACGTGTAGAACTGTCGCAAATCATTGATACTTTAAAAGTAAGTGGTGGTCATAGTAAGCAATGGACATCAATCATACACATATATACACAGCCAAATAGAACATCTAACGGAAATATGTTTACATAGCTTATTCTAAAGAATCGAATTGACACAACCACACTAATCAAACATTACTATTCATAGCTATCTATACACATGAGATGCACAGTAAAGCTATGAATCAAACAAAAAGCAAATTACTACAATCTATCTACGTGCACAAATTCTTTAACATTTTTACTCAATAAATCAACAAATTATCAACGGAAACAAAGTTCACACAAGCACTCAAGTTAAATTAGCATGCATATACTTACGTATATGCATATATATATGCTAATTTAATCTGAGTGCTTGTCTGAACTTTGATTCGGTCGATAATTTGTTGATTCATTAACAATGTAAAAGATCACTAATCTACCTAGTAGTTGTTCATCATTCATATAATAAAGTAAACTGTTCAATTTAGACTTTAACATCTATTACTTTCCTTATTCAAAGTAGGCACATTTTCTGGTCGTTTACTGTATCTTTGGCTTACATTGTCTTTTGTTCTTCTCTTTTCCAAATCTTCCCGTTAACACTACTCTGTATGCTCTGATTGTACGAAAATTGAGTTCTGACTAGACACGATCCGCTACACTAAGCGTTTATATCGTAAGTAACAGATACCTACCAGACAGAAGCAAAGTATCCTACTAGACAAATCAGATTACTATAGAGGGTATATGATTTTTGCCCAAAATATAGAACAAAATTAGGGATCGCTAGCAATAGATTCTCGAACCTACTGGCTTCTGAGCAAAATTCAAATATCATGTACGAAAAGTAGTAGAAATACCTCAGTATATTGTGCTTAAAACGTTCAAAGTGATAACGAACAATCACTTCCTGAGATAATAAGGAATAAAAATGATAGTATCAACCGTATCAATGTTACGCATGCACGTAAACAGGTCATTTTGATATGCTTGGATTATTACGAGTTTACCTTAGTCGGAAAACGAGAGCAAGGACCGAGGATCCGGCGACACGACATGCTACTCTAATCCGAATGTCCCAACCTCCTTGAATAAAAGAAGACTTGATATGAAGTAGAAACTGTATTCTACAAACATCCAGAAAGTACGAGGTCCGAGTCCAGAAGAGAATCAGGATCGGGGTCCGTGTCATAAAACGTTACAGATAATGCGTATTTATACATTTAGGTTGAATAAGAAAAAACATAGAAGTTTGTGACATTGATAGTTAGTACGATCATAATATTGACCAATAGAATTAGACTTCCAAAAATAGTTCTTAGGATATTTGATGAATATCCTCAATTCTGATTCTATAGGTTGTACATACTAAGTTAATCGAAACTTTCCCTGAATACTAACAATAAATCTTTGATCTTGAAACAAACCTTAACTTAGCGGATTGACTAAATGCTTGTCGCAGTTATTTTAAGCAGCTCTTCTTAACAAGAAATATGTAAGAAACAAACAGAACCTATCAACATTTCATTATTAAGATGTTTAAGTATATCACTAGATGTGATAAAGAAAATTTTCTTAAATTTGTAAACTTAGCGGTTATTACCAAAAGATCTTTCAAATCTATTAAATTGTGAACAAGGAAACTTTAAGTGTCATTAGAAGTGCTTGGGTGGTGATTACTTCCAATGGAAGGATATTTTTTCTCGACTTATGAAAGGAACTTTTGAAAATAGAGTTGTCTTCACTGTTGATATCACTAACTGTTCTTAGCTAGACCAGTAATGGAAGCCTGTAGGCACTGTACTCCCGTTTCGTCCTACAATAGGACTCATCAGCAGCGCGATCCCCGAGTGAGGGAATCGAACCCGAGATCTCCGGTCCCGCACGCGAACAATCAACCAACCTTAAGACTAGCGAGCCGGTAACCAATGATTAATCCATGATCTTTTCAACCTTTATCCATCACATGCAGCAGATTTACTTGAAAAGGAAAATGAAAAAACAGTCGTCTTCCAGCTTTGGGAGCGTGACTGAAGCGTTCCATGGTCAACCGTTTGAAGCCGGCCATATACACACTAATTTCATATGTTAACTCTACTTTCAAGGCCTCACCTACGGGGAAAAATAATCCTTATTGTTTTTGGGACAATACTTCCCAAATCTTTACTTCTGTCATGGAGAGACAGCACTGTTGCACATGTTGAATGTCTGAGGGAAAGCTCACATTAATATTACACCATAGTCAGCAGTACTGAATCACCCTAAGACCATGAGTTTCTTATCTTAAATCAAACCATACTCCAGTCGAACAGCCTGATATGGTATGGCAGAACCTAAAGGAAGAACTGTTCTAGACAATATAGCTCGATCGACTAGTCACACTATTGAATCCCGGTGACTACGTCAAGGTAGTGTCTACGTTACATATGACTGGATGACTGACTAAGATCTATTCAACTACAATGAGATCAATTTTAAATCACAAAGGTTAGAAAGTATGAGAACCGTCATTTTAAATTAAAAAAACCTCCAGCTATTACTAACCTATTAACAATTAAATCTTGTTTTGGTGTTGAATTACGATTAGGTGTAGCAGTTGCCCAACAGTTCTCCAATATTAGTTTACTTGTTTTTTGTGGATTTACTAATGAAACAAGAGCGTAAATTTTATCTCCAGGTGGGATCGTGATAGGTTGCTGTAATGGCACAGTAAATCTGTAGAAATGGAACAAAAAAAGTAAAGACATTGAGACGACTGATCATTTAACAATTCAGTACAAGTACATGATTATCAACTAGCCATCACTTTCAGTTGCCTAATTCCTTAATGGACTGTACGATACTACTTTTACTGTATTGAGTAACTAATTTTATTGTCAATCATTTTCTGAAGCAGCTTGTCTCAACAATTTTTAGTGACAATGTTATATGTCGGCATGAATTCGTGACTTATTATCTACTTTATTAATGTAATTAAATCATTCAAAATTCTTTGTAGTTCATGTTTGTTTCTCGTATATTCATTGGAGATATTGTTCAGTTGTTTTCTGAAAATGCTATTAGTCAAGATGTCAGGTTATTTATCTATGTGTCAGAGGGTGAGATGTATGTATATCTGTGAATAAGTACTTTATTTTAACAAGAAGATTTGCAATGTTTTTATTTTTCTCTAATTGTTCCCAGTTAAGACACTTCGATAAATGTGGTGATTAGTTTTAAAGAATCTAAACTTATTTATGTAGTGTTAAAAAACAACAGGTGTGTATGTCCAGTTACCAACAGAAAATCAGAAAATGCGAAGATATTATTTCTGTTTGAAAATACTACATACGTACATGATTTCAATAATAATTACAAGCAACAGTAAAAATTTAACAAATACACTGTTTTCATTCCATTTTCTAAGATTCTAATCAAACATCGGTAGCCTAATAGCCTAGGCATTTGTTGTTGAACCTGAAATTCTCGAGTTAGTATCCTAAAAAATTACCCTTTTGTATTGATTCGATATTCCAGTATATATGATACTTGTTTAGCTTTTGGACTTTGTTGATTAGTTACTAAAGATTAACTACAAGACTATAAATCTGTATTTGCAACAGGTTTCAACTAAAATGAAACGTATAATTAGATATTTCTCTCAAATGCGTTCAATAACTTAACATTAAAAATAGTCCATGCGATGTTGCATCACTTAGACGACAAAAAATTGTGTATAAACAAAAGCTATGAAAATAGTTACCAATAACTCAAAGTCTAAGTCAGTAGTATGATGTGATTTAAAAAAAAAATAGATACAGTATCAATTCATTATTTTCCTTTAAATATCTTGAATGTTATCTCATTTTCGTATCTACTCTTTTCTGTTTATATCTGACACATTTTTTTTTTCGAAATGGCGGTAAGACTTTTTAAAAACAGAAACTGAGATTTCCATACTGCCTGTTGATTATGAAGGTAAGTCATATGTTGAACTACGCAAAATGTACTTCGATTCATAACCATATACCTTTTATTTGGTTATATACTGTAAAATTTATCAATAGTAAACTCATCAAGCATAATGATACACAGTCATATATCATGCTTACCATGAGAATTCCAACTATTTTTAGTGGAATTTAAACGGTAATAACAATAACCGTTGATGTGAAAAACATAATTCTTAAGAAATATGGTAACTGCATTTAACAAAAATTCATTAAGAGAAGTTATACCAAGTTTCCTATCCTTAGGTTCACAAAAAGGAAATTCGTCAAGTCCTACTACTTATGAGTAGCATAAAAACAAGTATAATAAGCTTAAGTTGAAAGAGTAGCCCAAAGTATGGACACTATAGAAATCACATACCACTGAAAATCTAAGACGGTTTAGTATTTCGCCGGTACGAATTTATAACACGATTCGGCAATATTTTGTTTATGTTACAAATCTCTGTATTTCAGCTGTCTAATTTCGCATATTTTTTGAAAAAAGATCTTTGTATAACATACAACAGATATGAAGATTTGTGTGAAAAGAACTGCTTACTTACTGACTCACGCCTGTTACCCCCAATGGAGCACAGGTCGCCCATCAGTTTTCTCCAACCAACTCTGTCCTGAGCTTCCCTTTCTAGTTCTTTCCAGTTTTCGCTCATTCTCTTCATGTCTTTCTCTATTTTTGGTGTTTTTTGAGTTGTTTTGAGTTCCAGATGTTCTTCAGTTGTATAAATGCAGCCCTTGCTTTACTGATCCGCGCTTTCAGATCTGCATCAGACCCACCTTGCTCGTCAATGGTGCTGCCCAGATACGTAAAGGTTTTTAAGTCCTCCAAGACATCTCCATCAAATGTGATTTGGTTGGCGCATACTATGTTGTATCGAGGAACCCTACTTTTCCTTTTATGTATTCTGAGACCTGAGGCTGCTGCTACACTGGTTGCCTTCTCTTGCATTTGTTGTTGCGTGTGCGATAGAAGAGTCAGGTCATCTGCGAAGTCCAGATTGTTCAACTGCATCAACTGAATACCGTGCTTCCTTCCAGATGCTGACGTCTTCATAATCCAATCGATCACCGGGAGAGAGAGAAAGGTTGAAAGTAAGAAACCTTGCCTGACACCGGTCTTCACCTCCAACGAGTCCATCAGCTGTGGTTTATGCACGATATTGCAGTTTAATCCATCATAAGAATTCCGCATTATTTTGACTATCTTATCAGGCACGCCGTTATGTTGAAGGAGTCTCAATAGGGTTGTGCTGTCCACGCTGTCAAATGCTTTGTCATAGTTGATGAAGAGGCGTTGGCCTCGTGAGAAGAGAAGTGATGCCTCTGTAGTTCTCACACTTGCTGAGATCGTCTTTCTTTGGTATTTTCATGAGGTATCCTTCTTTGCAATCTGATGGTACCTGTTCCTCATCCCAAATCTTGTTGAAGAGAATGTGAAGTATTTTTGCAGTTGCTTCCACGTCTGCTCTGCTGGAATGTTGTCTGGTCCTGCTGCTTTGCCGCTCTTAATTTGTCTCATGGCCATACTGATCTCTTCAATTGTAGGTGCTCCAACATCGATTGGGAGGTCCGTAGATGCTGCTTCGATGTCGGATGGATTCACTGGAGCTGATCGATTCAAGAGTTCCTTAAAGTGTTCTACCCACCTGTTTCGCTGTTCTTCAGTGTTTCTGATTACTTTGCCTTCCTTGCTTTTCACTAGTCGTCCTGGTTTACGATGGTTTCCAGTGAGCTTCTTTGTTGTATCGTACAATTGTTTCAAGTTTCCTTAATTAATTAATGTTTAATTAAACTGAAAACTAACTTTTTAGGTTGTTGTTCAATCAAGTGGAAACTTATCCACTCCAGATTTGGATTCACACTGCCACATAATCAGACTAATTTTATTGGACAATTTATTCTACTGTCTGAGCAATCAAAATTAGTCTATGCAGTCAACATTATATTTCAATAATCAATTATTTTTCGACCATCTGGATAGTTATTTTCCTAACATGCGCTTATGTGAACACCGATATTGTGTAGTACGGGAACGAAGATCATAGTAATGGTAGCTTTGAGAACTAGTTTATGGACTATTATTGTGTATAATCTTATACTCCTTTTCTTTTAAGAATTACATTAATCGATAAACTGTTACATATATTTGATTTACTACTCTTATTATGCCGTCAGTTTATTATTTGCAGTCTCTTCTACCTACAGTTTTTTGGCTTATTTATATATAATTGTTATTTCCCATTCATTGGTGTGATGCAGTTGAATATATTTGTATATGAAGTATGTATATTTGAAATATGCTATTCGTATAGCGGCGGCTGATTACAGTGTTTTGAACGTGGAGAGAATTGTGAACCAATGAGAACCTAGCTGCTGATTCAAGGTGTTTGTGTCACGTAATATTAACCAGAGCTCAAAAGTTATAGCTAATACATCAGCGGCTAGACACAAACTTAACAGAGATATTCAAAAAATGCCAAACATTGAGTTACACACAAAATTTAAATAGTACTGACTTACAATTGATCACGGAATAATTTCAATGTAGATAAGATACTTTCGCTTTTGTATAATAAATTTGTAGTAATATTTGGTGAAGCGACAACTTCTGATTGAATTTGATTTGAACGTGGTATTAAACAGGTGACAGTGAATTTTATTGGCAAATTTGATATAATACCACTTTTTGGTGTTAGATATGCACGAATCAAATTTAATTTGATTGCAATAGAAGTTGTATTACTCTATAGAAATAAATAAATATGCATACAAAATAAGAGTTACGGATAAGTTTTTAGTTAGTCAACTAGCCAGTACATTATTTATTATTAGCAAATGAAGTCCAATTTTTCGTTTCCACCATGGACTGAGATTAGCTGGACATGTTATGACCCAAAATATAGGATCCAAATGCATGCACTTCTTACAAACTTGCCCAACCAGCTATGACAGTGAGAGACTAAGAAATGATTACAAAACTTTAATTGATGAATAGAACCATTAGGTATGAAAATCATTGGCATATTAACATTGAAATAGAGCAAGAACAAGAAGTGTAATAAAAAACCATGAATCCATTTTATTTTATGATTTTCCATCAGATACATACAATCTAGATATAATTGTATACATTATTTAGAATCCGAATGTACATACTTTATATTATAACATCAGATACGATCTCATCAATTAGGAAGGACTATAATCAATATGAAAGAATTGTAAAAAGATGTTCACAGAAGACAGGATATTTATATGGTAAATAATTTAAAAATTCCAGAAGAAAAGATTAATAACCGAAGTTACATAATAGTAATAAAAGGCATAAAATGAGTGAAGTTCAGAAAGTTAGGAAAAAATTGAATTTCTAAATTTGTAAACAGGAAGTATCACAGACAAAAGTCACCAAGGCATAGAAAGTGTGACAACTGTTCTTTTAAATGCATAATTATGTTTTATGTTCGTTGATAGAAATTGCTTAGCCAAAAACTTAATAAGTCCAAAGACGTTTGTCTATCACAAACTTAAATGATTTTGCAATCTCAGCGTCATATCCACGACCAAGTAGATGACAAACAATCGAACTTATGAAAGAAAGTTGACCTATTCGTTTCCATCTCTGAGAAATATGCTCATTAATATGAACACTGATTTTCCACCTATTGTATGCGCCTAGGAACGTACCACTACTACTACTACCGCTATTGCTGGACCATAAAATTACTGACATGGACATATTTCATACTGAATACACATCAATCGTGAAATTTGTTACAAACTTCTATAAGAAGTACTTAATAAATGTTGTCCATAAATTCAAACACTTAATGTTGACTTTCCAACTGCCTCCTCCCAATCACTTAACCTTCCCCGAAAAATCTCATGTATTTAGGCCTCAAGCAAAAGTTAAAAGACAGCGTACAAGCATATTTATAGGTTTTCATGATCTGGGTTCTCTAGAAACTCCTGGAACCATGCTTAATCAGCAGCGAAATGGGTTATTATCTAATCAGGATTTGATACACAACTCATTTCTTTTCTAGAATTCTGTGGGATAATGAATAGGTGATGAATTTCAGCATCTTCCTAATTGTAAAGGACCTTTTTGAGGAATTTTTTGACGGCTTCAAACAATGATTGAGGTGATTAAGAAAACTGACAAAAAACTTAATAAGGAAATTGCTGGTAAATATAAATGTACGTCAAGAATATATAATTCATATCTGAATTTAAACTCTTCCGATGTATTGGTTAGAGCCTAAAACTTACACTTGTTACCCATAATGGAGCTTGAGACCGGCGATAAACAGAAGGGCTCCGGACGGAGTAAGGGCAATGTGCAATCTTCAAAACAAATTTTCGTTACATTTTATTACTCAGTGAGGACAATTCTGCCGAATGAATTCTAATATATTTGTATCAGCATTTGTGTTCAGTGACAAATAATCTCAGTGTTATTAAAAATTCTAGGCATGGTGATTGATTTATGATCCTTTTAAATAATTCTTTTTCTATTAATATAACTCTTTCATCACTAAACTAATCTTTTTATTTATGTTAGCGCTCCAGTTAGAAAAAGGAATATCGTAACTTACTTCTAAATATAAGTGTTACTTGTAATTTATCCAATGGTTTCACCGTCCGTTTTTATGGTTCGGAGTATATAATATGTTAAACATTTATTTACGTATGTTTCAACCATAGCACCACAATGCAGACTATTATCTAACACTATTACAAGATGTGATCTTACAAGATACATAAGTTTCACATAGATATTTCATTATGAGACAACCTCACATTTGGTTCCAGTACCAAGAAGACCGATTAGTTAGTGTAATAAAAATTTTTTTTTAAATATGGAGAAATATAAAGTAGAAGAGGTATAAAAATCTCAGTATTCATCTGTGGATCACCTAAAATGCCGATAACAGCACAACAACAAAAAACTTTAAAGAAATTCAGAACCAGGAAAGATGTAGTCATAGTTCCAGCGGACAAACAACGCACTGTAATAATTATGGATATGTAAGAATATATCAAGAAAGCTGAGGAACTACTTGAGGACAGAAGCGTATGTAAATCAATGGACAAAAACTGAATAATAAGATTAGACATCCAAATCTCAAGGACTCTAAACGAACTTGTCAAAGCAGGAAAAATATCAAAAAAGATCAATGGAGAGAGAAATCCAGTGAACCAATAATCCCACGGTTATACAGTAAGCCGAAAGTACACAAGCTTAACATTTGACTAAGTCCAATTGTATCCCTCACTGGAACCTCAACATACAACTAATCAAGAAAAAATTTCAAGGACATTGAAACAACTGCTGGATTCATCCAACTACTCCATCAAGTCTCTGATACAGTTCTTGGATAATCTCAAAGAGCTTCAAATCGACAACGACGAATTGATGATATCCTTCGACATAAAAGCATTATTCACCTCAATTAGGCCAAGTTTGGCTAAAGAAACTCTATCCCTGCTCCTCATCAATGACACAAATCTCCAAAAGTATACAAAGCTTCAGAATCAAAGTCTCCTAGAACTCATTGATTTATACTTAACAACATTTTTTAATTCAACAACAATATCTACGAACCAACAAAAGGAACACTAATATCAGGACTCATCGCAGAAGCTGTGATGCAGGAACTAGCAGCATCGATTTTACCAGCGATCAAGCCAAAAATGTGGATATATTATGAAGACGACACGCTCGTCATTATTAAGAGGAACGAACTGGAGAACACCTACATTCGGATCAACAACATCTTTGATGACATAAAGTTCACAATGGAAAAGAAATCAAACAACAGTCTATCATTCCTGGGCGTACTAATCATCAGAATGGACAGAGGAAAACTGGGAGACAACCCACAAATATCTAATTCTAAACTACATTAGCAATAACCCAAGAACTTACAAAACCAACTGCGTACAAACGATGTTCAAGAGAGCGAAGACACACTGCAACAAACATGAAGCACAAAAAAAACGAAGAAAAATATCTAATGACTTTCTAAAAGAGCGGATATCCACGCAACTTCATCAAAAAACATCAGTTGAACCCATCAGTAGAAGCAAAATCAAGTGCAGGAACCGGTAAACGGATTATTCTACCATACATAAAAGGCGTTTAGGAAATTACAGCACCACTTTTGAAACCATTGGGAATAGGTGTGGCACACAAGCAAACAGAATCACTTCGATCAATTCTATGTATACCAAATAACAAAATGACAAGAGAAGAAAAACTAAATATCATCTACAAAATGAATTTCCCAGATTGTGAAAAACACTACATAGAACAAAGCGGACGTCCTCTTCAGCTTCATTTACGTAAACACCAACTGGCAGTCAAACGCCACGACATTTCTTTGCTTATATCAATACATACGGACAACTATGGACTATGTTCGATTAGAACAATGTTGAAATAATGGTTATGGAGAGCACAAAGAACACTAGAGAATTTTTAGGAGCTTGGGACTCAGGTCCATCAGCAATCAACAAACATATCGACATTGACCCAATTTATCAACCAATCAGAAAAATCATAGGCAAGCATAGGATCAATAAAAACAGATCAAGGGCTGACATAATCAAAACAAAGATGCAAACAACGACAGGATTAGGGTCAATAACAACCAATTAAGATCAAGGTTGACATGTTAAGCTACGAGTCAAACGTGGAGGAATTCGAATGCTTCACTTCTATCAGAAGTTTGTGCTGATGATGTTGTTCGGAAGAACGATGAAGGCTTAACAACCAAAACGTCTAGCTCAGAGAACGAAACTTCACCACCTGAGCTACAAATTTTCTCCATCATCTCGAAATCAGTATATCCTACTGTTTTATTGGATTTAATATTTCTTCAAGCTATTTGAACAACAAAATCTAACTTTCTGAAAAACAAAAACTATCAGATATTAAGGTGTTTTCACTGCATATCAAATCATTTTGATAATTTTCTCGATGATCATTCTAAATTTGTTATATTTAATGAACACTAAAATGTCGTTTTACATAATTTAAGAGATACAAAAATAACACTGTAACTTAAATTCATTACCTTCAAAAAGCTATGTGTTAATTACTGAGCTACTGAGTTCAGATAACCACTAGCTTGTGAACTGGACAACCCGTAAGAAGCGAGAAACCCCAAATGTCCGTGTACGACCGAAAATGCTCTTATATTAAGATGACAGGGAAAATTTGTAGCTCAGATAGATGATTACAGTAAAGCTCAACTCTCTGAGCTGGATGTGGAGCTTCCATTGTTCTTATGAACAACATCACCATTGCAAAACTCAGATACAAGTGAAGTATCAGTAGCTTGAGGTCAACTGGACAGGCTACAAGTCATTCGTGGAGAAGTTCAAAAACTTTACTTCTGCCTGAGTTTTGTGCTGATGATGCTGTTCGGAAGAACAATTAAAACTCCAAACATAAACATCCAGTTCAGAGAATGATACTCTACCATAATGCTCTTAAATGGTCACGAGTATATAGTCACTGTCAGAGACGTCCTACTCACTCAGTGGCAGTGTTGTTCACGAAATTAAAAGGACGAAAAGTGAATCTCCCGTGCTTAAACTGAATTAGTGGGTACGGAGGAACCATCTAGGGAAGTTGGAAAACCCTGATTCCAAACCAATGGTGTACATGAACTTCAAGATCTTGAGGGAATAAATGGCGTATGAACCTATTGTTGATCAGCAGCTACGATGGGATCACATCTCCTAATGTTGTTTCACTGCCTTGTGGATTAGACCTGTGTGTGGAAAGCTAGTGAAACAGCCCCCCTTCAAACCACCTGTTTTAGTCGGGCATCCTGATAATATACCAGTCCAAACAAACACATTGATCTGTGCTGTGTACGAATATTTAAGTATCCCTTTGTACCAATGCCTGTGTTTAAGTCCCTGTGTGAACATCTTCACATTTACATAAAAATATATCTTGCTGAAATGCGTTCCATTCTCAGTGACTATCCAATTTTGATAAATAAATAAAAATAAACCGCAAATTGAATTACACCTTAAACAGAAAATAATGAAAGTAATTTAGGCAACTAATAAATTGTTTGTTTGTTTTAACTAACCAATGTAAGACTCCCACCACAGCCGACAAGTGGAATAAATGCCAAAATATGAGTTACATTATCATCTACATGATATTGACATTCAATTGGTAACATGTCTTGATCTAATCGAATCATGCTTGAATTAAGATCTGGATTGTACGATTTATCGTATATGACTGTTGCTGTTGTTTGATTACAATGAAATTCAGGTTGATATAAATCTACATTGATTAAGTGGAAATAAGTATATATATACATACATTAACATTCATAATAGTTACTGATAAACTAAATAAAACTGTCGAAATCAGTTTTTACCACACATATTGAACTTGATTTAGCTGTGAAGAATCATGAAAAGGCACAATAGTTTGGTATATTAGATATATGTCAAATGTCGGAACCACCAGAACTCGATCATAATCATTGTCACAACTGTTGATATGAATGCTTGTTATTTGAAATATGAATCACTGAATCCCAAACAAAGTAGTTGAAAAGTTTAGCAGAATAGATGAGATTCGATTTTTTGTGAATATTTCTTTCTGCCTGAAGGCTATCAAGCAGCTGAGCTATCACAAGGTGGCTAATTGTTTCATTTCAACAAAGCTTCCTACACAAATTTAACAATAAGTTTTGACCGTATGCTTCCCACCCGTAATTCATTAACTTTAGGAAATGGAGACAATAAAACATGAAACAATGAGGTAGCTGAAAACCTGAGAAAATACAAGAAATAGTATGGACAACGGGGACTGAGATCGAATAAGTTTACTGTTACAGATTACCAGATATTAAAAAGGGAATAAAGTAGGTGACCGAACGTCTGCTGAATATTTAAATTGTTATGATCTTAGTCTGTATATTTATTGATCTAACATATTTACAAGTAACTTTGAATAAAATATCATGAAAGAAAAAGCATGCGTTTGTAATTCTGCACTGTTGTAAAATAATCTATTTCGTCTTAATTCCAATCAACTTTTAAGAGGACTTTCTAGTGTGTGTCTAGTGAGAGAGAAAGAATCAGTTATAACTTATGAGTTATGGAAGACGGGCATATCTTGAAGGAAGATATCAAGACCAGATGGAATAATTATATATTTAAAGAAGACAGTCTATCAACAAAATACGTACACCTCATCTTTAGATTTCCATTTTCAAAACCAGCAAATTACTGATTGTCTTCTTTTGCATGTTTTCTGGTCTTCAAGACACGTTACTCGTGCCCTGAATTCCAATCCGACACCTCTCTCTCCGGCAGACTTTCCTTTGCATACTGCTTACAACCTATGCTGTGAGTAGTATCCACCACAGCTACACTCGAAATAAGAGACTATCGTATTACACAGTTACCTCCTAAACAATGATCGGATGGATAGTTGAGTCGAGAGTACCTCATGATCGACTGTCACGCCCTAGTAACTCTTGTCTCGACCTGCACCAAACAGTCCATCGTAACACAAAGATAAGTAAAACTACACTGTACTCTACTAACCTGGATCATCTGTAGTTGACGGTGGTCCACATTGTAAACCAATATCCATACCATGTGTACAACCGGGTGTTGAACCCCAACCACCGCCTAATTTACAATCATTTAAACCTGATGCATTCACTGGACAGTCTAAACGTGATAAATGAATTGGTGTTGAATTGGAAGCACTTCCATATTTGTACAAAACTGGATAGGCATATTGTAGATTATCACTTGAAAATGAGAGAAGGAAACAAATTAGGTTTTCAAATAAAACTGAAATATGCAAATTCACAGGAATTGATCTCTGTAAAAAGATTGTTGAAATGATATTTACGATAATTCTGAAATGAGTGTTTACTGAAACGACATTTGTATTAATAAAGTGAAGACCATTATATTTTGTATTTTGCATCATAAAATAACTGCAGATATCAATGAGTACATTCAACCTCCCCCAGGTAGAACCTGTGGCGTTCAAGCTTGGGAGCTAGCTCTTAACCTTCGAATTATTGAGCTGAAGTATATTAATCATCATTCTTGACTTTAATCGATTTAACCGTTCACTATCAACTCTGATGAACTCCATTGATGAATGCTTCTCGCTAAATCTTTAGTGATCACTTAAACAACGTCAGTACGAGGAAGATCCCCAAGAGTGGAAGCGAAAAATGGTTACCTAATATTACAAAGTGATTGCATATAGAAATCTAAATAGTTGGATGGTTTAGAGGTTAATCAACTGCTGCGAAACCTGAAAGTTTTAGGTTCCATCCCCAATGAAAGTTGTGAATGCGCATTATGATGAAACAGATGTCTAGTATTTCTATGTCCACAAAATTTGTGTAAATAAGGTCAGGCCATGAAATAAAGTATGAAACTTACCAATCTCCACAAGTTCTTTATGTTAATAAAATAAAATATTGGAAAATAGTTTCGAAAACGAAACATCTGCAGCGGGAAAACCATAAGGGAGTATCAGATATTTAGCTAGTGCGTATGGAATCGGATTGACAATATTTCCATCTTCATTTAGTTCGTATAAGGCTGAGTGATTCTTTTCAAACAAAATCAAAGGGTAACTCGTTTAATTCCATGCTTCACTGACTTTCCTAGTCTAACTAATCAGCTAGCTGATAGCACATAATTAGTAATAACTGTTATATATTATATATTTAGTACAATATAGAGTTCTCAGTAAACAATATTCCAGCAAGTTCCTCTTACACTTTTTCACAAATGTATTATATAAAAACAATTAGACAGAGTGATAATAAATTTTTTGAATGATCCCTTGGATGATGTCTAGATGGAAATAATATGTCTCAAGAAAGAAATCCTTCTTGAATATGAATGAACAAAACATGAAAAAACTAAGAGATGGAAAGAAAAACTTGGACCATAATAGATAACATTTGAAACCAGATTTATTATAGATTATTCAATAGTACGAAACTTCATATAATTCTAACAGTGTTTGCATGCTTTTCATGCTCTACGGTAGACATATTTAGGAGTTAGTGTAAGACTATCATTAAAGATGGACTATCAATCAATATGCTACAGAACTTCATTTGTTTCAAAATAATTCACAGAAACAAACAATAAGAAGATCCGCTTACAAGATAAGTATTTTTTGTAAGATACTCTCAAAAGAAACTTATGCAACTAGTGTTCAACCGATTTGCACTGGAAAGATAAGTATATCAGTTTCGCTCTAGATACTGATACCTAATTTATTTGACTATCAATGAAATCATGAATTGAATAATGTTAGAGCGTCATTAGAAACCTGGAAGCACTCGATGGCGGCTTCGTCTTAGTACAGAATCCATCAGCCGTGCGTATCCACCACCGCTACCTGCGGAAATCGAGCCCACGCACGCAAACGCTTAGCTTCTGGACCGCCGAGCCGGCATCCAACGGTGATAATGTCTAACTTTGATCAATTCACGGCCTAGTTGTCTAATGCACAGTCAATCAGTCATAAAAATGTAGAACTTGGTTGATATATGAGAACTGGTTTACGTAGTCGGATTGAAAATTTAGCGCAGTAAGATGAAACCATCAAGACAAATATACTACAGTAGACAAAGTCATTATAAAAAACGTTAGACATATAGTTTACGAAGAAAGAACAAGCTTTTGTAGTAAAAAGGTACAGGACGATTTCGAAGATCAACAATCTGGAGAAATCGGAAACGACCACATCTAGATCGTTTTTAATTGACTTTGAGTCCCATCACCCCAATATCTGTTTGATTATGATAATCGGGCCAACAGTTTTCCGTAAAATTGTCTTCAAGGTGTATATGAAAATTTCGTTGAGTTTTTTGTTTTTACTCTAAGTGTTAATTATTTCTCCTTGTTTTTTGTCTCTCTGAAAATTATAATTACTGTTATTACTTTGATTTTTTCTGCTGGTATCCAACATATACAAACTTGATGACTGAATACCTTTTTTCCATAGTTTTATACAAGGAAAAAAAAATAAAAATACAACCTTTGAATTGACGAATGCTCATAGAAATTTCTTTTTCAGAATAGAAAAACATCTGAAGAGCTTCTATTACTGCTAATCATATAAATCGTTTTACTCATGTGAATCTTTTAACTCGAAAAAGCAAATTACCATGGTAACATATCTAATATAAATATTTATTTTTTGCCGGAGAAAATCTTCAAAAGCGTGAGTAATTTAATACGAAGAAGATTGTGAAACATAATTTAAAAGTACAAAATTTAGAAGAAGTGTATTAGTTATGGGTTGTACATTTATAAATTTATACATGTATATATATTTCATGAACTTGATCCTTTTGAAATAAAGTGAACATTGAATGAGCGACCGCAAGTGAATAAGCACGGTAAAATAAAGAGCGCTACAATAACGAATTATAAAACCTCACTTATCTTGGAAGTTTTATACACTCGGACGATGAATTGATGTTCGGTGTCGATAATACATCAACGAATGAAAGTCAAGGATTTTCCGAGTAGGAAATGTGATCTCAAGGTCACTTGAGCAGCTTATGCACGAAAACACGAAAATCCAAAATTAGGACTTTTCCCAAGTGGGTTCTGGGGATCCAACCTCCCCAACACATACGATTGCTTATGTATCTTGGAATGACTGAGTGAGCAATATTGAGGTTAGATATACAGTACCAAGAAAAGTTGAAAAATCAATTGATGCGGTTGCGAATTTTCATAAACTTGAGGCATATGCCCAAACAACGCCCACCTCAACACGTGATAATGGTGAGCGTACGATTAAGTTGTTAGAAAGCTAGAGGCAGTGAAATCAAGTCGTAAATTCACATCCTATAATCATTGACTATTTCACTATGACATGTTGATAAATGCATGCTACTTAGTTAGGGTTAGCACCGCACTATCAATTCATAGCTAAAGAATTAGTCATAATGATGCAGATACTTATTTCAACTATGGGAATGGATACGAATTAAAAAGAACTTTAACTGCACTGGAATGACGTCAGAAATAGAAAGACCAGTAATTATGTCCGAATCGTAATTAACGATGGTCGTTTTAATATTTATTTCAGCACAAACATTGGTACAATGGAGCACTAAAATATTTATGCGCCACACAGTAAAAATGAGGTTGTGAAGAGGTTAAGGCGAATGAGCATAATAAAAAGATAAAAATGAAAAGAATTTAGCGTGGAGAAGTAATGGTACTGATAATAGTAGTGGGAGAAGCATTCCAATTAACATTCTCTCAGTTAGAGTTCTTATCACTTGTATGAAGAAGGTAAAAAAGTTACAACAGGTTTGACTTTTCTTCTGAACCGTTTCTTATAACGTCTCGAACCAATTAGTTGGATCATCACTAGGATCCAACCGGAGAGCGTGAAGGTCTGACGGTTACTGGTCACTTATAGTTATAATTTGACCAATCGTCTCTTTTCCTACAGCTGAAGCATTTATAATTATGGAATGGACATGGTATTTGTAAGTGCAACTGATAATACCAATCAGTCAGCTACTACGCGGAACTTCGTACTTACGTGCATCAGTTGCCAAATCACATTAGCGCAGACATCGGATCATTATCCATATTCCATAGAGGGGAGATGTAGTAGAAGTATTAGTGGTAATCGAAAAGATTACGGAGCGAATATATTATTCCAGAAGTGTAATCCAGTGAAATAAATAAAGACAAAGGTGAGGAAAAATTCGGAAGATTAGAATTCGATAGAAGACAAGGGACGGATGTACCTGCACCACTGCAAACGATTTCCAGCTACGTCACTTAAAGCAACCAACCAACGATTACTATTGTCTCGCGGACCCCTAACTGGTAGGATACCCCTAATAATACAGCTCAGTCCAATTGTCAGTGACTTGATGGATTCGTTCCATGTTTTGGCCCCCTCCAGCTCTCTTACAGCCCATTCCTACATCACTAAACATTGCTCGTCAAGGCAGTCGGTGGTTGAGCATACGTGACACGTGTTCAACTGATTATTAATGCCTTGAATCCTTCATATCTCAACATAACATTTTTCCTTGAAAATGTCAGTTTTTTAACACAACTTAATGCAAGAGTTTTCGGGCCAGCCATGGCACGTCAGTGAAAGTTAAAGATAAGCTTTCAAGGGAAGAACAACAGAACGATATCTAACAGATCATTTGTCCGGACTGCAATGCAGTTTATGTGGGAGGAACATCTAAGTAACACAGTGTTTGAAACACGTTCCCCAAACTTTGGTTGATCTCATGAAATTGGAGAGTAAATCGACGATAGCATTACATGCGTTAAAAAAGGACAAAATATCAACTTTGATGGGACCAAAATACTTCATAAAGGGTTTATAGAATGTAGTGATTTCACTTTTATTAAGAAAAAACCGACTGGTTAAATAGCGACATTCATTATTATATTAAACTCTACCAGTAAGCGTTTTACCGAACATTTGTTTATCCGTACTTTTGACTGAGCAGTGACCTTTGTGCTTTTTATATTTATATTGACATTACATAACGGTCACGCGCTTCGCCTCTTTCAGGTCGCCCTCTTGTTTTGACTGCTCTGTACTGTCGTCTACAATATGACACGCTTTCGTATTTCTTCAATATCACGTAATCGCCTGCAAATATACCCATTTTATCTGGTCTTTCCAGCCACCTTCTTTCTGATAAAAGATTTGGGATAAAGCTTGTGACCCGAACTTAATTGGTTTGTAGATTTGTTGATAGTCTTTCGACTCAAAAATCTATAAGCACAAAGATTGACAGCAGAAAAGATGTGTTTATGCTATTCAACTAGCCAACCCATGGAAAATGGCCGTTCACCAGTAATTGGACCTCTCTATATTCACTTTGTTTAATCTACATTTAACATTGATCGAACGGTAATTAATTGTAATTTTTTAAACATGACAACTATCTAACTGGTAATTATCAGTTTACTTACACATTCGACTTTTTAAAAATCATTTACAAGCGTACTTTTGTTTACGAGCCGTAAACAAACGACTGATATGAATTCAACGAATTTCAACTACTAGTAACATGAATTTACACATACATGTACACACACTCATTTGTTTTCTACAGTGTGAATTCATCACTTTTCATATTGCACTTGACTCATGTTATCCTATTTACTCAAGTTACCGTAGGAATATGGTTGGATTAACATTTAATGTAAAATTGGTTTGATTGTTAAACATTATATATTCCTTGGTAATTTTGATTGTGTTTATTACTACCCTGAAGAAGTCCAGACAAGATAGCTGGAAGAAACCTTGCAGTTCTGTAAAATTTCAATCGCTGAGATTATCTCAAACACAGTTTTCAAAAATGATGTCGGCGCCCGAATTTTGTCAAACTATTCGTCCAAATATTGATAAATATTTTTATAAATTGTTCTGATAATATATAATGATCACTGCATAAGTTCCAAAAAGTAAACCTGAAAATTCATACAGTCAGCAGACGAAAACCTACATTATTACAGCCAGAAATACATTTTAGTCGCTGGTAGTTAAAAAAAGCTAGGGAAGCACTCACGAGCTCGTGCATAACATTCGACAAAGGGCACGTGCTGCATTCAAGTCAAAACCATCAGCACATATTGTACCCCACTGATTTGTTTGAGGATGTTTTACTTCGACCCTGCCAGCTTTGTTTGTCCCATCTACCAAGCGAATAAGCGAGTAGTCAGAAGAGTTACCTGAAGATTAAAGAACAAATTTAAACGTGGGAATGCTGTGCAGAGCAACATAGGTGACGGCTATTGCAAACAAATGTACTCATCTAAAAACAAAACTTCCAAGTAAAAACATCTTGAACCAAATAATAATAGAACACAGCTGTTTTGGTCAGTTCCCTTATTAAAACACAGATAAATATTCATAGACCAATCGATTAAAATGACAAAACACAAAAGCACATTGGTTGGAGTTTTAAAATTAGAGTATCTAAAAGCGGCACCCTATGGGTAAATAAAGTTACAGAGACTGAACGTCAAGCATCAGATACAAATATGATCCGGGATACGTTCATGGAACAGGGTACCTAAAAACTGACGGTTACATGTGAAAGCTGTAAACTTACCTGATAAAAGCAGTGCCTAATAGGAAATTCACTAACATTATAAACCGATGTCGACATATTTAAAAACATTAAGTTAAAAGCACAGAGCAATAACCAGTGTATAACTAGAATAAAATTCAATGATATTTACAAAAACCTGTATCAAGATCGCTGTAAAACTTTCAAAGCTATCGTTAAACACTTCAGGTAACCAACTCTCTTTATCTGTAATAAGACGGTTCGTTACGGTGTATTTACAGACATGTTTTAGATTATTATAATTTCTAAACAAACTACTTGTTTTGCTCAAAGTAGACAGAAGTTCCCTTATCGGACAAAATGACCACCGAATTTCTTACTGAATGGCTGATTTTATTTCAGTCCTTGTGAAACAAGAACGTCGTCACATAAAACAAGACGGATTTACATGTTAATAGCTTGTCTCCATATAGGCTGTGTATATAAAGGTTGTAACCTGCATATCACAAATAGTTCGAGTTGGGTTATATAATATTTTATTTAGCCACTAAACCGGCGCTTCAAAGCACTTACAGTTAACTGGAGCCAAAGTCATATAGTTTGGAGCTGCAGTAGTTGTAGTTGTCGTTTCGGCAGGGTCGAGACAAACAATTGACGTCTGTCGGTTACTGACTAGACAGATAGGAGGCAGGTCATTCGTAAAGGAACAAACGCCCAAATGTGTAGTAGCACTACTTAGTGCACCAGGTGTCAATAGAACTCTTCCAGTGCAATTGAACTCCGATAATAATGGGGATGAATTAGGAATTCGCCGAAGGCTGTTCATTATCGGGACACCTCGAGGTGGACTGAAAATAAATAAATGACTACTTACAACCCGAGCATAAAGCAAGCAACTGAAGCTGATAGCTCATCAAATCCAATGTTGCAAATGGTTCCCCAATTACCATTGTAATTAACTTCCAAAACACCATCTCGCCCTTCAGCGTAAAGACTAGTACCACGAGCCAGGCGTACAGCTCTGATACCACCAACTTCTGAAATGTTTTAGACAATGCTATGTATGCTTATATGTACCTGTCTGAGCATCATTAAGTACAAGAAGAGAGATAAAGACATATATAGACAAAAACACATGCATATTCTTGAACTACCGCTTTTCGTTGCCACAAGTGAGAACGTAAGGAACATGTACGAAGAAAGTAGTAGTCATGCCCAATATCCAATATCCTTTTCACGAACTAATATGAACCGACTGATTTCTTTGTGTTAGATTCTTGTTGTCTAAACAGGTATCAGGATATTCAGTGGTAGAAGGTTGCTGTATATTTCATTTTCTGCTTACGTACAATATCCAATATATTTATCCTTAGCTAAGATGAACCGATAGATTTGCGCTTGATTCTTGTTCTTTTGGTACGGTTCCAGGTATTTGATAATGTCCAATGGATGGAAGTCTAGCTATTCGACTGCATTAATTCTAGTTATTTGGCAGTTGTTTGTGAGTCTGTATGTCTCGTGATTTGAATGAGTATGCTTGTTTCAGGGCAGTATCGTTTCTCCATACCAGCAGCTATAGCGTTACCAGACCGGATATCAGTTAGTCCAGTGTAGAGAATAGTAAGGAGCAAAATCTCATGCTATTGGGAATTCGATTTGAGAACTAAGTAAATAAATGGATAATTAAGTTAATTAATTGGTAGTGAAGATTGTGTTGGACCGAAATGTAGGCAAGGGAAAGGAGACAGAGATGATAGCGACAGAAACTAAGTTAGTGATCTGTAAGGATGGTAATAATAATAGCTAGCAGGTCTCAACACATGCATCAGGCATAGCTTGTCCACGAGAAGATGATAATCCGTATGTGAGTACATGTTTATCATTTCTTAAAGCTGCCCACTAGGGCGGCTGTGTCACTTTGGCTGGGAGAGCGTTCCGAGTTGCAATGACTCTCAGTGAGAACCTGGGTGTTCGCTCTATGATTCGCGATTTTTCGAGAGTTGCATCAGGGGGTGAGGTGGCATTGCTTCGATATGATGCCCACGTTGGAATGGTTTGGCATGCTTAATACGTTGTGTGCCACCTTTGTGTGTCACCTTTGATTTCCGTACAACACAAGGGATAAACCCTAATTGCTGGAGTCTTTCTTTGTACGTTTTTTTCAACCCTACCACCCATTTAATTTTCTCGTCTTGCTTTAGAGGTTTCGGGCTGCATCGACATTATGAACCTCGAGGTGTAGGCGTATGTACGACTAAAACATTAGCAATTATTCTGGGGTGATAGGACCAAGTTATCTTTGCATCAAGTGTAGAGTTGGGTTAGGTAATAGGCTGGGTCCTTCTTATTTCCTCCTTTGAAGATTGTGGAGAGAGTAGTTTATTTTCAATCGGCTGAGAGATAGTGTGACCTCTAGTGAATACCCGAACAGTATACATATTGGTGAACTGGTGGCTTCTGAAAACAGTTTTAAGACTGTGGGGTAAATATTGTCACATCATGGTGACTTTTCGGGACGCAAGGATTTTAGTTTCCTCATTATTAGGCCAGGAATACTTCGAACATTCCTTAGGCTACCAGATGACACTAGGTTTTGGTGGATCTCTGAAAGTGTAGGTATTTGTTTGAGCTGATCGTTACAGTTGGTAGTGAGTGTCTCAGCCGATTTTAAATCGATAAAATCGTAACCGTTTGGGCCCTTGAGAAAACAAACAGTCTGTTTCGTAGGTTTTCTTGAAGTCATGAACGTGTGTGAGTCGCACCTTCTTTGGTGAGATCTGAAGGAGCACTAAAAGTCCCTACAATCGAGTAATTGCGTTGAAGCAGCATCAGCATGATTCCGTCACGTCTGTTAATTGGTTGCCGTGTAGTCTATCGGCTTTCAAATGACGATAATATATACAGCTAATCCGCCTACTGTCTGGTGTGGCCTATCTCATCGGAAGATTGCCATGCCTTGCAAGTTCAAATCACTGTCTGCAATATCAAGGGATAGCCATGTTTCGTTTGGGATTATGATCTTCATATGATTCCGAAAATACATATTCATGATCCCCGACAGCTTATCCATTAGGTCTCTTTTGTTGCATATCGACACTTGGTGGTTTGTCTCTTCAACCTCTAGAGCAACCACCACTGCCAGGTTTTCAAACAAATTGTTCAAACCCAGTTGACCAGTTCTATGGGGGCCGGCCTCTGCAGGTTTTTTTCCTGCGTATTGTGTTTGATTGACTCAACCATTATCTCCGTGTCTTGTACTGAGTGTTGTGCCTAATTTAGCCTCCCTCTTGTTGTCTAACTGATCCAGGTCGGCTCTCACAACATCTGGTGTGACTAGTGAGATCATTCTTTATGCCGTACTAAGTTTTAAGACCATCAGTTACATCTTCCTGACTTCGGAAGTTACAGCCTTCAGATGAGGAGACCTAAGGTCGCGGGGTGTGACGCACGAGGCAACAGTGAGATGCTATTTGGCGTGCTCGTGGGAACGCCTATGTCACACGACAACTAACACCTAGTGTCCTTCATCCAAAATACCACTAACCAGTACGTGGTGGCCGTGAATTACCATAATAGTTCTCTTTTGGTGACCTTTCTATGTCATGATAGCTGCTTGTACTGATTATGGTTTCTCGCGCATGAATGGGTATAATCCGACCTACTCCCCTTTTGAATTTGTGCCATGACAAGCTCTCGATCATTCGTAGACCCCGTAAATGTTCTCTAATACGTAAAGTGATGATAATTAACTCCATATTTTTGGTCAATTTATACAAGGCTACTTCAGATTATTCTGACTGAAATGAGACTATTCTAGTTATTCAACCTGAAGTGCACGGATAGCTGGGGAGGGGTCAAGTGTTACTAGTCGGCAGACTTCCATTAAACAGTGCAGTGTAAGATGAGTAAAACGTCACTGAACCCTTGCCAACAAACTATTAAACTCCATCAATCTCTTGTTAGTTAGTTTAACTATCAATAGTTTACAGAACCTAACTAAAGGCAGGAACAATCAACGTAAGTTAGTCAGTTGTGTACCATGGGCTTTCCTATTTAGACGAAAATATAGGTTTGAAGACTTCATATGTGTGGAATATGCCTCAGTAGCAATGTCAGTGCTTTTCATTCCTGTTGTCTCTACCCGTATTATATTACTTTGAGGTTACTTTTTTCCGTTTCTCTAAAGTTTGCAAGGTAGACAATTCAAGCTATAACATTTTAAAAGTTGGAGGTGTCAAACAAGGGCCAAACAAAACATTTCTAATTTGGTCAAACCCACCATCATTATCGGTGATCACGAATGCCCCTTGGAATGATAAAGAATCAGAAGTTTTCAATAATTATTGTGGCGATGTTTTGGACAAAATCAGTTTATAATATATTCGATCGTCATTTGTAATTTTTCTTAATTCCATTCCAGTGAGTACATTACTGTTAACTGGAAATTTTTCTTGAACCTGACTTCTATTATTTTGTCTTACTAGTCGCACGACGTACTGATATACATTCCATAAATGTGAGGGTGTGCTTTTATCTAGTTCCGAATTTGTTGCCTGTTGTTTTTTTTAAATTTATATTTGCAAACTACTGCACATGTCATACTGCATATTTATCCTCGTATGGCACTGTTGTATGAGGCATGAATTTGCTAGAAACGCTAGCACATTTACTGTGATAGGTTGCTCAGGTAGACAGGTATTTTACAAGATAAATTGGTCATAGACTTAGAGATTCAAGACAATGTTGGAGGAACCTGTATGTACAGTACAAAGATTGGTTGCATTGTGACGAACAACCGTTGTTCGAGAATCAACACGAAAACAACCTCGACCTATACAAAATAAGAATTCATGACGTGAATGCAGATTGATCTACCCGGACTACGGAAAACAGTTCTGTGATAATAACAATTCAAATTTTCGTCTCTTGACGGTTAGTTGAGTAGATACCTCATTTTTGCATCAGTCATCGGTGATTGTTCTGACGTTCAGCAGGATACACGAGGCAGTTTGAACAGCGAATGATGAAGAAATTCTGAAATAAGTTTGTTTAGCTTGTCGAAATGCAGTCAAACAGGGAGGATGCCAAGGAGTAAGAAATATCATTTATAAGAGGGTTTAATTCAATGCTCCCTATCCAAAGAGGTTCCAGTTTAAGTTGTTGACAACTTTGGTGATAATGCCTATCGCAGAAATATCCGGAACGAGGTTTGGTGAAATTTACTTGAATGACTTTATTAACAATCAAATCATGTTGTTTGCAGTTACCTTAAACCAGAATCGCATGATCGAAATTGCAATTGAAATATTCTTTATATTGTAATAATCCGGATTCGGTTTTTTTAAACTCAGCATTATGAATCTTATGATACTTCTTGCTTGCAGCGTGCTGATAATGTCTGCTGCGTAGCTAGACCTAAATATACCTGACAATGTTGAAGAAGTTCAAAACGTCTTTATGTGAAGTCGAATTGTAGCGGCCAATTTAGAGAAATTCAGTTTTACCAATATCCATCACATAATCCGCTCACTTAACTTATACACATGTTCTTGGATTACAGCTTAAATGGAGCTTTCTTTGGTGGAAGACGAGATCATCAGAAAACAGAAAAGCTTCATCGTGTTGTAAAATCAGCCTACTTTCTTACATAACAGAAATGGCTGTGTTAATGGACGTAGGGTATCGAGATATTATTATTATTATAATTAGTTAAGAGATGGATAAGTTTCACAACCCATACATAGGTTGAACAGTTTTAAGCAACGTAATGGAGATTCCATACTATCACGTTACTCAAACGACGTAAAAGCACCACTGCCTTCAACGCTATGAACGGCGATTGCCTTTCAGTATGAGTGAAAAATCTCAATGTCTGTATTATTTATGGCAAGCATTGAGGGGGAATTTCGAAGTGTTTCGGTTATTCTTAATCAAACTACGAACTCCGGAACTCTGTTTCGGATTAAGAGTCCGAAATCATAGCGTCTGGACGATTCAGAAGACGCAATAGGGCTCAATCATCACCCTTACAAAATTCTCAATCAATGTGAAATTTGATAGTGCGAAAGTTAATCGCAAATATCACATCTAGTCGTGATTTAGACTAGTAGTGCCCACACGCACTTCTTTAAGTAATGTTAA